TATAATTAATTATAATAATCATTGTTCTAAGTATTGTCACACCCCCCCCCAAATTATACTTGGTACATCCCTGTCTCTGTGTGACTTTTGGGGGGTTTGAGGTCTGGTAAAACTGGGGGGGGGTCACTAGTTTTGGGGAGGGGTCAGTCCCGCCCCTCCCCCGCTGCTCGTCTGCTCAGCTTTTTGTGTTTTTGTCCGTTTTTGTCCCTTTTTGTCCGTTTTTGCCTTTTCTGTGCCCAAACGGGGCCTCTGCCCCCAACGCTGTGCTGCGCCCCCTCCTCTAATTACCCCCCACTAATTAATTACGCCCTTGCCCCAGCAGGTGCTGGAGGAGCCGAACCCGGGGGGATTTTTGGGGGTCCCCCCACCCCGGGACCCCCCCTAATTCCAGGCCCCCCCAACCCTCAGCGAGGCCCCGCCCCCAGCGCAGACCCGGCGCTCTCATTGGCTGGGGGGGTGAAGCCGCGCGGGCGCCGCCATCTTTGTTGAGGGCGGGCGGCCATTCCCCCTGGGGCGCCGCCATCTTGGCTGAGGGCGGAGCGGGCCGAGTGAGGCCCCCCTGGCGCCATCTTTAGTGAGGGCAAAGCCCCTCCCGCCCCTACCCGGGGTCGCCACGAATTTGGGATTTTGGGGGGGATGAGGCCCCTTAGCGGGGGGAGGGAGGTGCCGAGACCGCAGCTGTTTCTATCCAATATATATTAAGATCTCGCCATAAATCTCTCAAAATAAAAATAAAACCTGGTCCTGGCGGAGGCGGGGGGGGGGAGCCCCCCACGATTTGGGGGGTCCCTGGGCCGAGCCCCCCCGCCCCGGGGCGGCCGCTATAGGAAGGGGTTGGTGGTCGGGTGCCTGATGCCCAACGGGGCCGTCGGGGCCGTCTGGGGGGGGTGCAATAAAAAAGGGGGGTGTCAGGGGCAGAGAGGGGGGTCAGGACCCCCCCCCCAGCCCCCTCCTTACCACGAAGGGGTTGGTGGAGGCTTTGGCAACGTTGAACCCACCAAAAGGCGACGCTGGGGGGGCAAAATGGGGGGGTCAGTGGTGGGGGGGAAGAGGGTACCCCGATATTTAACACCCCCAATATTTAACAACCCCCCCAGCTCTTACCATCAGCCTGGAAGGGGCTGGGGAACCCCCCGGGCACTGGGGGGGTGGTGAAAGCGGCACCTGAAGGAGGGGACACAGAAATGGGGCCCCCCCGGACCCCACCCCGGCCCAGGGTGGGTGTGGGGGGTGCAGGGAGGGGGGTCACTCACCGGGGCCGTTGCTCTGGAAGGGGTTGGTGGAGGGTCGGGGGGTCACGAAGGGGTTGGTGTAGCCTGGGGGGGGGCACAGGGGTCACCCCGGGGCCCCCCCTCACTTTGGGGGGGTCCCAATGGGGGGGTGAACCCTGACTTACCCCCATAGGGTGGAGCTGGGGGGGGGTCCAGGGTCCCGAAGAGGCTGTGGGGGGAGGAGGGGTGAGTGGGGTGTGTGGGGGGGCAGATCCTCCCCACCCCCACCAGGTGAGGGGGGGGAAAGGAGGGGGCGGTACCTGGGAGAGGCTCCACCCCCTGTGGGCGGGGCTGAGGTGGCCCCACCCCGAGCAGCAGCAATTCCTGTGGGTGGGAGAGACAAACACACGGGGGGACCCCAAAAACCCCCTGGGACCCCCGAGAGGGACAGAGCCCCCACAGCTCTCCCCCCATTAACCCTCACTGGGGACCCCATTAATGGCCACATTAATCCTGGGAGTTCTGTGGGTGGGAGGGAGCCCCAAACCCCCTCCCCATTAGCCCTGAGGGTCCCAGGGGTTCCCAAATCCTTCCCCAAGAGCCCCACGGGTACCGTGGGGACACCAAACCCCTCTCCAGCCCCCCCCAAGGAATGAGGGGACCCCCATCTCCCCCCTTCCCGTTAATCCCGGGCACCCCAAGGGTGTGTGGGGACTCCAAGCCCCTTCCTAGGCCCTGCCAGGGTGATCCCAAACCCCTTTCCCAGGAGTCCCGGGAGGTCCTGGGGTACCTGTGGCGGTGGGAGGGGTGTGGAAGGGGGGCCCAGCCCCCCCAAACGTGGGTGCTCCCAGGGTGGCTCCGAAGGCATCGAAATGGGGGAAGGCAGAGTGGGGCGGGGCCGGGCCTGGGGAGGCTCAGAGTCACCCCAAAGGCCCCCCAGGGCTTCAGAGCCAGCGACCTGCTGGTCACCAGCCCCTCTGTGTGTGAGCAGGACCCTCCCAGTCCCCCCAGCTCACCGGGTAAGGCGGCGAAGGTGGGTCCCAGGGTGGGGGTGGCAAAGGGGTCCCCCCCAATGTCTGCCAGGAGGTCGGTGCTGGATTTTCGGGGGGGCTGGGGGGGTCTTTGGGCGGCTGGGCGGGGCTGGAGGGGGGCACAGAGATGTCAGGGGTGGAACCCTTCCCCCGGGCACCCCTAAAACCGGTCCAGTCTCACCTGAGGCAGCGTCCCCGTGTCCCCCAGGAGCAGCTGGGGGGCCTCCGTGGTGCTTTGGGGGGGTTTCACTTGCTCTGGGGCCACGTACCTGCCGTGGGGGGAGGGCCACAACGATGAGGGTGTGCCCACGCTGTCCTGCTGCCCACAAAAGGTGCCCCCAACCCCCCAATACCATCGTTTCTTCTCGTATTTCTCCTGCAGGAACTCCTTGACCTTCTGGGGGTCCCGGGAGTCGGGGAGCTCCGAGATCCGGGGGTCAAAGGTGCCGAGCCAGACCCGTCTGCAGGCCTGGGGGGAAACGGGGCGAGGTGGGCGGGGCGAGAGGGAGGGGGCGGAGCCCCCACTGCCACCTCCCGTTACCTCATTGCCGCGCTCCTGCAGGAACAGCACCTCTGCCTCGCTGAACGTCGTCATGGAGATGGACTTGACGCGGTGGGGGGGGTTCAGCCCCCGCCTGGGGAGGGGATTCTGGGGGTCAGCGCCGCCCCCGCACCAGCAAACCCCCTAAAAGGAGGTTTTTCCCCCTAAAACTCCGGACTATTGACGACATCCAGGGGTACGCACGTGCTTGGGCCACGCCCCCTTCCCGTAAGCCCCGCCCACAGCGGACGCAGCCAATCAGTGACTGAGTGACCATCTTGGCCCCGCCCTTGCTGTGACCCCGCCCTCCCACTTGCCCCGCCCCCCTCCGGCCCCGCTCACAGCGCCCCCGAGCAGGCGGTGCACACGAGGCTGCCCACGCTGATGTCCACGTAGGTGACGCCGCGCTGGCCGCACTCGAAGCAGAGCCGGTTGGCGGGGGCCGCGCTCACCAGCTCCCGCACCCGCCGGCACCAAACCTCGGCCTCCGCGTCCCGGCCCGCGCTGCCCCTGCGGCCCCCGGGGCCTCCGCTGGGCCCCGCTCCGGGGCCGGGGCCGCCGCCTCCGCCCGCCGCCATCTTCCCGCTCCCGCGGGGCCCCGCCCCCGCCGCAGCGCCGCCGCTGATTGGCCGCGCCCCGCGAGCAGCGCCCCCTGGCGGCTCGCGCCGTGCGCCGCGGCTCTTCCCGCCCTTTTTCGTCCCCTCAGCGCTGCCCCCCCCCCGTGAGCGGATTCGACACCAACGCGGCTTAAAAACACCCAGGTTTGGGGCCGTTTCACCCAAATTCAGCATTGTCCACCAGTCCCGGCTCCCCCCGGTGTGAAGGGAGGGGAGTTTCGGGGGTTTCTGCCCCCTCGCCCTTTTTGTCCCCTCAGCAACCCCCATCCCCCCCCCCAGTGTTTTACCGCCGAACACAGGGAAATCCTCCTCTTTTTGGGGTCGTTTTCTCCCAAATTCTCTATTATTCTCCCTCATTTTGTGTCATTTCCCCACAAATCCCCTATTTTTCCCCCTCCCGCCCCCTGTCGTGAGGTGTTCTGGGAGGTCCCAGGCCCCTCTTTGGGGTGCCCTCCCCTCCCGTCCCAAACAGGCGTTTCCAGCTGCTTCTCTCTTTAATAGTGCACAGAACCACGTTACAAAACCCCTCGGCCCCCCGACCCCCCCCCAAACTGGGGCCCCCCCGGACCCCGCGGGGCGAAGGCAATTCTGGTACCGGGGGGCGCGGGGGGGGATGAGGCACAGAGGGCCCGGGGGGGTCCCGGGACAGGGTTGGGGAGGGTCCTTTGCCCCCCAAAATCCCAGCGGTCCCCCCCCCAAAAATCCCAGGGGAGATCCCCCCTCCCCTCGTACCCTTCCCCCGCACTGGGGGTCTCCCCCCGACACCCCCCACCCCCCCACAGGCCGCACCGCGGACCCCCGTCGTCGAACCCCATCCCCGGCCCCTGCTTGATGCACCCCCATAAATACCCCCCCATAAATACATTGCAAAGCAGTTACAGCACCCCCCCGGTCCGGGGGAGCTGAACCCCCGGCTGAGGGGTGACCCCCCTCTTTTAGGGGGACTGGAACCCCCCCTTTTATTGGGGAGCTTTGCCCCCCTTTATAGGGACCCCCCAGTTCATGGGGGGGCTTTAACCCCCGGGGGGGACTGTACCCCGATATTGAGGCTCGACACCCCCATATTGGGGGGATTTAATCCCCCTTAATGAGGGGCTTGACCCTGCCTCCCTTTTTGGGGTCTCTCCCCCCATCTATTGGAGGTCACTCCCTGTTACCCCGGGGGAGGGGGGGGTCTCCATCTTCCCCCCCCTTATTTTAGGAGCGTACGTTCCTCCCTCCTTATTTAGGAGGGGGGCTCATCATACCATAAATACCCCCCCAGTTCCTCCCCAACCCGGCCCAGCCGTGTCGCCCCCCCCTCACTTCAGGAGCCCCCCTTTACCCTTAGGAGCCCCCCCTCTGATTTTGGGGCCCCCCCCGGCCCCGGGGGTGGTTTTTGGGGTGCTCCAGGCACC